CCCTGGTCTGTGGGGGGGGGGGGGATCCTTCTGTTGATCCTTTGCACCAGCCCTAATGGGAAAACGTCTCTTGTAGTTTTCCTGGATCTTTGGCTGCATTGCATTGAATCCAAAAATACAGGTTGACCAGTCTACGGGAAAGGTCTTGGAAAATACCTGGAGATTTGGGGGGGGGGACCCTGAAGAGAGCAATGTTTTGGGAGGGGGGGCCTATTCAGGCTACAGTGCCCACAGAGCCCCGCCCTCCAAAGCAGCCATTTTCTTCAGGGCAACTGATCTCTGTAGACTGGAGACCACTTGTACAAACAGGGGATCTCCAGGTCCCACCTGGAGGGTGGCAAGCCCAGTCTTGGGGCAGAGCTTCGGCTTGGCCCCAGAATCCATCTACAGTGACAAAATGCGGCCATCCGTAACAAATGAGAGAGCGTATCTGAACGTGTGCAGACTTGCATGTTTGTTCTCCGCTCCGTACCCTGGCCGCTGAAACCAAGGCCTGTTCAGGGCCACAGGTGACCCTTGCCTGAGCGTTATGATGGTGCATCATTCCTGGTGCAAATAGTGGAACTTAGTGGCAAGGCTCCCTCTGAGCTGTAGAGTCTTGTGAGCAAAAATTCCACTTGGTGAACCGCTGGCATTAAAGTTGTAAGCGAGTGATTTGGCTGCTGCGTAAATTAGTTTGCTCTGGACCCATCCTTCCTGAGCTGAGACAACAATGTGTGAGCTGGCTCACACTAACAGCTTAGAGAGAACACTGCCTGCAATGCTCCCTCTCAGTTGTGGAGTCTTGTGAGCAAAAAATTCCACTTTGTGAGCGACTGGCATTCAAGTTGTGAGCCAGTGATTTGGCTGCTACATAAATTAGTTTGCCCTGGAGCCCTCCTTCCTGAGCTGAGACAACAATGTGTGAGCCGGAGGCTAAAGAACTGTGAGCTGGCTCACGCTAACTCAGCTTAGAGGGAATACTGCCTGCAATGCTCCCTCTGAGCTGTGGAGTCTTGTGAGCAACAGTTCCACTTGGTGAGCCGCTGGCATGAAAGTTGTGAGCCAGCGATTTGGCTGCTGCATCAATTAGTGTGCTCTGGACCTGTCCTTTCTGAGCCGAGACAAAAATGTGCAAGCCAGAGGCTAAGAAACTGTGGGCTAGCTCGCACAAACTCAGCTTAGAGGGAACTCCGCCAAGCAGCTTGCCTTGCAATGGAGCGGCAGAGCAGGGATGAGGAGGAACCACCCCCACCCCCCGGCCCTGAAAATAAAACCAACACAAGGATGGGACAGAAGCAGGAAGGGCCGAGCCGAAGAGGGTCTGTGGGAGACAGCTGTGAGAAGCACGAGGCAAAAAAGAAGAATGGGTAGAGGGTGCTGTAGTGACTCTACTTGTCCATTGTTGAGGGCCAGCGGGGAGTAGTGGTGAGCTTGTCGGACTAGGATCAGGGAGACTCCCCACTCTGCCATCGTATCTCTCTGGGTGACCTTGGGCTGGTCGTGGTTAGGAGCGTGGGCATTAATCTGGAGGGACGGGTTTGATTCCTCCTCATACAGCCAGCTGGGTGACCTTGGGTCAGTCACGCCTTCTCTCAGAGCCACTCTCTCAAGGGCAGTCCCTCTCAAGAGCTCTCTCAGCACCTACCTCACAGGGTGTCTGTTGTGGGGAGGGGAAGGGAAAGGAGATTGTAAGCCTCTCTGAGACTCCTTCGGGTAGTGAAGGGCGGGGTATAAATCCAATCTCTTCTTCTTCCTCCTCCACATTCAGCTCCCGGTGTGACCTTGGTCACTCACAAGTTCTCTCAGAGCTGTTCTCTCAAGAGCTCTCTCAGCCCCACCTCCCTCACAGGGTGTCTGTCGTGGAGAGGGGAAGGGAAAGGAGATTGTAAGCCGCTCTGGGATGCCGAGTGAAGGGCGGGGTATATATCCAATCTCTTCTCTCTCTTTTCTTCTACTCCACAGGTTTGTAGTGAGGGTAAAATGGAAGGGGAGGGTTGAACAACGTAAGCCACTTTCGGTTCCCATTCGGGAGAAAGGCGGGGTATTAATAGAGCAAATAATAAACAATTTCCTTTCTTTAACTGCGAAGGGTACAGCTACGAGCGCCTGGATGGCTCCGTCCGTGGCGAAGAGCGGCATCTGGCCATCAAGAACTTTGGCGCTCAGCCCGTCTTTGTCTTCCTCCTGAGCACCCGGGCAGGTGAGGAGCAGCTTGGGGGGGGGCGTTGTGTTGTGTGGGGGCCTTTCCGCTGAGACCACGCAGCAGGACCCTCCAGGGCCCTGAGGGATTCTTTCCTCTTTCTGCAGTCAGCCAGAAGCCAAACTGAATCAGTCACTCCCGTGCCATTCTTAAGAGAGGGTGGTGCTGTGTCCTCTGTGAAAATCCAGCCGCATCCCTCCACATGGATAAGCTCCGAATTAGCTCCTGCCCCAACCACTCCTGCTCCCTTTTTTTAAGCCCTAAGCCGGTTTGGCCCCGATGGGAGATCACCAAGGATGTCCATGGTTGCTGCACAGAGGCAAGGAAGGGCCAACCACCCCTGAACGACACTTGCCTTAGAACCCCGCAGCCAAGTTGCCATACGTCGGCCGTGACTTGGTGGCACTTCCCATTACCGCCCTTCTTTCAAAAGGTGGCTTCCTCCGCTTGGACTGATCCCTGTTTTCTGCCAGAGAGGAGAGGAGTGCTTGTGTGTGTGTTCCTCCAGAGGAACTGCGTGAACTGAGAGCCAGTTGGGTGTAGTGGTCAGGAGCATGGCCAGGCCCATAGCTACCGTGGGGCCCACGGGGCCTGGCCCCCTAGTGGTTTTTATGGGCCCCTCCACGAACCATGGCTCCCCCTCCCTCCCAGGCCACCTCACCCTTGCTCCCCGTCAGCAGGGAGGATGAGAGCAGCGCAAGTGGTAGCAATGGCAGCAACGAGGCTGGGCTTCAGAGAGCGGTCCGGGGAGAAGCGTCCATCTTGGGCTTCCACTAGATGCTCGCTGTGCCACCCGCCAGCAATAGGTAAGCCCAGCCAGGTCAGGCAAGGAGGCAAACCGCCGCCTCCTCTTGCCCCTGGCAGGCACACCTGGCTGCACTCCATTGTGCCAACAAACCCACACACAGCGGCCCCTGCCCACCTCACCTCTCCCAGCCCTGGGAGGGAGCTGGGGTGTGTGTGTCAGGCTCCCCCTTGTGCTGTGCCGCAGGAAGAGGAACTGGGACTTCTGGGGGGGAGCCAGACGCTCTGCAGGGAAGGCCTGCCCTTGCCGAGGGGGGGTGGAGGGAAGCTACAGCTGCTGGGCATTGCCACCGCCCCTTGCCATGGATTAACTTTGTTTTAATTGGCTACTGGGCCCCCCCAAGGCCCCCTCCCCCCAAAATCCCTAGCTACGGGGCTGGTGGACTCTAATCTGGGAGAAGCGGGTTTGATTCCCCACTCCTCCACATGCGGCTGCTGGTGTGACCTTGGGTCAGTCACAAGTTCTCTCAGAGCTGTTCTCTCACAAGCAGTCCTCAAAGAAGCTCTCTCTACCCCACCTACCTCACAGGCAGTGTTCCTTCTAAGCTAAGTTAATGTGAGCTCGCTCACAGTTTTTTAGCCTACAGCTCACACACTTTTGCCTTCGCTCAGGAAGGATGTAGCTCCAGAGCAAACGAATCTATGCAGCAGCCAAATCGCTGGCTCACCACTTTCACAGTAGCTCACAAAGTAGACCTTTTGCTCACAAGATTCCACAGCATAGAGGGAGCATTGCTCACAGGATGTCTGTTGTGGGGAGGGGAAGGGAAAGAAGACTGTAAGCCACTCTGAGACTCCTTCGGGTAGTGAAAAGCAGGGTATAAATCCAATCTCCTCTTCTTCTTCCTCTTCTTCTTCTTAAAATATATATATCAGTTTATGGCAGTCACAAGCTACACGGCTGAGTGGAAGACCTTGCACCCGGATCGTCCGAGTCCAGCCGCCTGGCACTGTTGATTTCAATAAGCCAAATGCTTCTGCTAGCTACTTGTGTGCTGTCACTCTGGTTATTAAACCCATTGAGTGCATTTTTCTCTGTCTTCCCAGGTGGAGTCGGCATGAATCTAACGGCGGCAGACACAGTGGTCTTTGTGGACAGTGACTTCAACCCACAGAACGACTTGCAGGCGTCCGCGAGAGCCCACAGGATTGGCCAGGACAAGTAAGGGGTGGGCTGAAATCAGCGTCCTCCTCGTGTATGCATCTCCCTGCCTATCCGCCGTGGCGTCGGTCTCTTTCTAAGTGCATGCTTCACCAATCCAGCAGCACGCCCTGCGCACAGCTGTCGCCAGGCACCCCAGTACAGTTCGGTGAGCCAGTTTGGTGGTGTAGTGGTTAAGTGCGCGGACTCAAATCTCAGTGAGCTGGGTTTGATTCCCCACTCCTCCACCTGTAGCTGCTGGATGACCTTGGGCAAGCCATAGTTCTGTCAGAGCTGTTCTTTCAAGGGCAGTTCTCGAGAGAGCTCTCTCAGCCCCACCTACCTCACTGGGTGTCTTGTTGTGGGAAGGGAAAGGAGTTTGTAAACCCCTCTGAGACTCCCGAGTGAAGGGTGGGGTATAAATCCAATCTCTTCCTCTTCTTCTAATACATCCCAAGCATAGCTGGAACATTGCATAGTACAGCGAACACCCCCACACAGACACACTGGGGCTGCTGCAGCTGGTTGGATCAGGGCACATCTGTAGCCAATGTCCCAGCTGTGTTGTGCTGTAGCTGGCTAGGGTGGTGGCCAACGCTCCCTCCAAGCTGTGGAGTCTTGTGAGTAAAAATCCTACTTGGTGAACGACTGGCATGTGAGCGAGCGATTTGGCTGCTGTGTAAATTACGTTTGCTCCGGAGTTACCCTTCCGGAGCTAAGACGAAGATGTGTGAGCCGGAGGCTAAAAAACGGTGAGCTAGCTCACACTAATTCAGCTTAGAGGGAATACTGGGGTCGCCTCTCCGGCAAGAGGTGGCTCAGCACCTGGACTGTCCTGGTATCTCAGATTCGTCGGGCTTGGACTGCTGGCGTTCGGAGAGATGGCATGGGCCCGATGCAGGAAGCTTTTGGGGATTATGCTTCAGATCAGGGGTCCGCCAACCTTTTTGAGCCCGAAGGCACCTTTGGAGTTCTAAAAGCGGTGTGTTTATATACACTAAATAACAATACCAAAGCCAATTGTTGCAAATATATCACAAAATTATAATGAGGATCCAGAATCATATGACAAAGGCTTTATTTCTCTGCGCTACTGCTGATGGCCCGACTTCAGAAATAGATATACTTTAATACTATGAAAGTTGCTGATTGTCTGACTGTTTACAGAATTATGCAACAGGCAAAAAAACGAAGCTCTGCAGTTCTAAAACACGGGTCATTTCCTGTGGGAGCGCACTGGAGCGGAGCTCCAGCAGTAAGGAGCCCAGGGGGTGGGCACATGCAACAAGCCCTGCCCCCTGCTCCCAGCAGCCCTCAGTTGGGCCACGAGGAGCAAGAAGCAGC